AGCGGATGGGTTAAATGCAGAGAGTGAATTTCGTTGCGCTGTACTTGTGACAGTTTGATGATAATAAAATAAATAAATTTTTAAAATTGCTGGAATGTCTCCATCCACAAAGGTCAAATTACACCACAGACTGTACAGGAGGTTGAGGATGCTTTAGTCTGGGAGGAGATCCCTCAGGAGACCAACCTCCACCTCATCAGGAGTAGCCCAGGTGTTGTAGGGAGGTCATAGAGGCAGATGGAGGCCACACACAATACTGAGCATCATTCTTACCTCTTTGAAGGACATTACATCAAAGCTGGATCAGCCTGTAGTGTAGGACTGGTCTGCGATGCCCACACAACCGCTACGGAGCTTCCCAAACAACTACCTCTGGGTTACTCCTGAGCTGAAAGTCCTCATGAATCAGAAAAAAAGGGCTTTCAACTAAGGGGACAGAAGAGCAGCGTAGAGTTCAGTGAGAGCTCTAATGGAGGATCAGGGTGGAAGAAGGACTATGGGAGGAAGATGGAGGAACAGCTGGCACAGAGCAACATCAGAGATGTGTGGAGGGGTTTCAAGAACACGACTTTGGGCAGAGGACCACCAGCAGCAGGGCTGCAGACAGAGACACCAAGTTTGCAGACGCGTTAAACAGGTTCTTTACTCGTCATCCGCACGGCGGACTGTAGTAGTGACAGGCAGGCCGGGCCACAGACGGCTACGCTCTACCCCTTCTATTCATTCTAGCTAATCTGAATCGTTCATCGGGAGAGCGAGATCATCTGTGGTAGCAGCACTACACATCTTCCAGGCATGTGAGGAAAACTAGCAGCAGTTCAGCCATGATCCTGGCACTGGTGGCTGGCTTGATTGCTTATTCCACCCACCTGTTTTACTCTGCCCGTTTCTCATTATTGTTTATCCTATCCACCTGGTTTTATACTGTTTGTTTTCAAGCTACCAGGGCCAGATTATTCTAGCTGTTTGGTGTGAGTAACTCTAGTGTTTGACTTTCATTCTGTTTATTCTGTTTGTGACCTGTTTCTGTTTTATGATTCTGTTGGTCTGACCAGCTCTGGACTGTTTCTTGGATGCAACTGGCTTACCGAACCTGGACTGTTTTCGTGACCACGGCTTGGATTCCCTCATCGGTACATCATCGGCTCTCTGATCCTCTGGTTAACGAACTTGGACCCGCTACGACTTCGGCTTGAATCTGCCTGTCTGGACACGCTGCTCCCCAGCGTCGCTCGGCATCAGCACCACTCACCTGACCGAGCTCCAGGGGCTGCGCCCGCCGCAAGCGGAGGACAATCACCTTCGCGGATTCCTCTCTTCCCTCAGGGATTGGACTGAACTGTGAACCAGGTCAGTGACTATAGCTCTCAGCTGTTACTAGTCATTTATTCTAACGAGAAACTCCACCTTCCTGAATACATTAAGAAAAATAAGAAAAGTGCTTCTTTAAGAAATTAATAAAAAACACAGAGTTTTTGGTACAACATAACCTTAGAGGCCTTAAAGCTAATACCGGGACTAACATTTATAAATCTAAATATAATTGTTAGCTAGGCTTATTAACTTTTTAACTTAACTTTTCACCTTTTTTTCTTAACTTGATAACTTATGTTTCAACTTAATTTCACCCAACAGTCATGTTTTTGGTCTGTGGGCGGAAGCCAGAGTACCCGGAGAGAACCCACGCATGCACAGGGAGAACATGTAAACTCCATGCAGAAAGACCCCAGGCCGGGAATTAAACCCAGAACCTTCTTGCTGCAAGGCAACAGTGCTGCCCACTGTTCAACTGAGCTTTTACTTTTTTTCTTAAATTATAAACTTTGTTTTTTTAATTTAATTTCCAGCAGGTGATATATCATTCAAGGTCTCATCTCATTGGTCAAATGCCAAAATAA